TCCCCTCAGCATATCATGGTGTGACCCCCCCACTGTTCCCTTTGCTGCCCCTTTCACCACTTTATACAGAGATTGAGGCACCAAAAGCTCTTTCTGAGCATTAATCTGGGTCAACAAATTTATAATTAATTTCAGGAACAACAGGCTTTTTTAATTCATTCTGATAATACTACTGGCCAGCATTTACTGTCCATCCTTAATTGCTAATAAAGCAGTTAAGATTCAACTACATGACAGTGAGTCTGAAGTCACATATAGGCCAGACCAGGTAAGGATGGCAGATTTACTTCCCTAAAGGATAGTAGTGAACCGGATGGGTTTTTCCGGTAATCAGCAATGGTTTTATAGTCATCACTAGATTCTTCCAGGTTTTTTTATTGAATTGAAATTCAACTATTTTCCAAGGCGGATTCTGGGTCCCCAGGACCGATGTGTTTGGATTAACAGTTTAGTGATAATACAACTAGGCCACCACCTTGCCATGCTACATGAAATAAAATTAATGTAGTGTCTCTGGTTGTGTTGTCAGACACATTGCAACTGCATGGACTGACACCTGCGGTTGTGTGGCAGCCAACACAGACTTTAACATATACTGCATCAGTTGTTGGAGGAGGAACCACAGATACCGAGCCAACAACTAACAGCAAGACAAGTGAAAAATTCACTTATTGTAAACATCCTGTAAAGGTTAATTGCAATGCAAACATGCTGCTTATGTTACCATTCTTACAATAAACACACAAGTACGTGAGCACTCTCATGCAATATTACTCACTGTCTTAGAGCAAAAGCAGGTATGCTTAATGCACATACAGTGGCTGGAATGCGGAACTCATGACCACAACTAGCAGTTGAGGTTAACAGCATTAATGATTTTGAGGAAAAGCTAGGTAAACAGCTAAAGAATAAAAAGAGTTAAACTGAGACGGTTGAATGAAAAGAGGTACAAAGAAGTCACATGGAACATTAACATGAGAGCAACAGTGCAGACCAATTGTACAAAAAGGCTCATACGACCAGTGTTCTTTCTAATGTGTCACTAAAGTCTTGCTTACCGTGGAGTTTTGGGGAGTTTATTTGGCAAGAAAATGCCTCACTTCCAAAATTTCCCCATGAAACTAGTACAAAACTTAATCTCGGTAGCCATATGTAACGTGTGACTCATGGAGCATAATCTTGGCGGCCTAACACGATATTACTGCCTACACCTATCATCCACTCTAGCTGCAATGCTATCAGAAAGCACAAATCTGTATCCCATTATGAAATTGACGTGAACAAATTATGTCATCAATGACTCCTTCAAAATTGTTTTGGTGGCTCAAATGTATGTGCAATCTGTAGTGTGAATAAGGCTGCATTTTCTTTATGTCTACAGTATTAATAGCACTTTTAAGAAATGTTAACCGTGTAATATCCCTGAAACCATTTGTTTGGTCATTCGGAGATGATCCTTTTATTTTACCAAGGGCCTGATATTCTAACAGATTCGCACTTTGCAAACGGAGATGAATATAGCAAGCGTGCAGAAAGGGTGTGATGTACATAAAAGAAAAATGATGAAAATAAGATGCTTCCATGCAGTTCTAGAGCTCTGGGCTTGAAATAAACTAAGACTTGCATGTGTATTGTACTTTTGAGTACCACAGGACATCCCAAAGCACCTTACAGCTAATCACGTGCTTTTGTGGAGTAGTCACTGCTGCAGTGCAGCATATGAAGCAGATTATCTCTCCATATTTTACTGACAAAAGGAAGCGAATAGCATTTTATTTTACTGTGGTAAATTTTATTTTCTAATAGAAGGGTTGCTCCAACACCAGGAATTCACATTCAGTACCATGTGAGAATTCCAGGATATTTCCTGTGTTTTGGATTACCGTAAGCACACTTGTTTCAGAGCTCAAGTAACAGCTGGCAACACTGCAGTTCACCTGCTGGTCGAGAGCTCTGTGGATGGTACCTTTATAAATGGTGTCATCCTGCAGCTTAAATGTATACAGGGAGGGAGAAAATAAGTGACCAACAGGTAATCAAAAAGAAATAAACAGGGAGCCCAGGAGTCTCACGAGTCTCATGAGTCTCACTCTCCGAACACTTCACAGTTCTGAATGAGTGACAGTGCACTCTGGAGTCAGAGTTGTATCTATGGCATCATAGCTGGGGACATTATCTGATAAGAAAACCAGGGATTTGGGGGGTCGGAGGTGACAGGAGGGGGGCAACATCCAGTGGTCAAGGCCTACATTAGTACCAAAGACAACAGCATGAAAGTGGGATGTACTCCTGCAGTCAGGTTTTACGGCAACAAATTAGTGACCAGGATCTCAAAAGTAATAATGTCCAGATTACTCTCCCGATCTTTATGTGCATGTGAGTACAGAGGTAGCAGCACGGAGCAGATAAATGAGTGGTTGGTTTACTGATGCAGGAAGGGCTGCATTACTTTCCTGGGACACTGGATAATTCCGAGGGAGAAAGATCAGGCCAGATGGGTTGTGTCTAATCAGATCTGGACAGAGTTCCCTCAAGGGCATTTTGTTAATCCTTTAGGGGAGAGTTTAA